TTGCTTAAATTATAATCCTCATGCCGGTAGTACAATGGGCTAACATAATGAGCTTTGCAACAAGCTCTCATACTCACATCTCCTCTTGAAACTATACAATCCATAATTGAGTTCTAGATTGAAGAAGGCGCATGGACAATCAAAGAATAAATTAAAGTGTATGATCCTCAGTAGTAAATCATGATAAGCTCTAGTCATGTAAACTTATCATGAACATCTCAATCATTCATCTCTTGAATAACAAATGTGATAAAGTTATTCTGCATCTCGTCTTGGTTATTGAAAAATAAAAAATGTCTGTTGTTAAATGAACCAATGAGATCATTTTTCAATCAAGAACTGAACCTTGATTTTCTTTCCCCAAAGGGAGTTAACGTTGATTTTGTTAACATGCGTAATTAAGAATATTTCAGATGGATGTTCTTTAGATGATTGTTGTTCTGACTTGGCCTTGGGTTATTTCTGATATTTGAGTGAAAATAACCATATTTAAGTTTGGTGCTAAAGATGCTAGTCACATACTCTTTCCTCTATATATATGATTACGTGTAGAGAGACATCTGTACATTTTCTTTTCTTTTCTTTTCTTATAGGTTTTTTTTGGACGGAGAACTACTCTACATTTTTTTTCTTGGAGGAAAATGTCATAAACATAGAGTTCTCCGTACAAGTTCAAGATATGAAGATCATAACTCACGAGTTAATGCTTCAAATTAACTTATCTTTACAAACAAGATAATATGTCACGTTTCATAAATAATTATATCAAATATTATTGGTCAAAATAAGTCGATAATTTGGATTCAGATCGACTCAACTTTGACCCTATACGGACCTAAACTGAGTAGGATCCAATCAGATTCAGGGACAAATCCAAGATATCTTTTGCATGGTTACTGTATGATGTTAGTTACACTCCAGTAGAAGCAGTTGGCAAAATATTTGACACATTGGGCAGTTCGGAAATGCACAACACAAAAGGCCGAATCAAAATAAAATAAATAAAAATCCAAGGATCGGAGAGTAAATGGAAAAATTACATCTCATCATGCCCACATTTTATTTCAACTAAACATTATACAAAGAAGTATCATTTTAAAGTATATGACAAAAAACGCTATTGAATGAGTACCGGTTTTAATACAGGGGGAAAACGCACAGCTCTTATCACTGCCGTCTACATTTTATTTGAGATAATAAACAATACAAGTAAAGAATATGGATACTAGAAATAGTAGGAACCTGAAGTGCAAAAATTTTCGAATACAGGGATACAAAATAATTTAATTCCTCCCAAGCCTCCATGGGGAAAAAATTGCCTCCATGGGAAAAAAAAAATTATCTTGTTTCATCTTCGAGGTTTCGAAAGCCAACAGTGAGATCGTCATACAGTTTCTTAAACTTGGCAACAAGAGCCTCCTCGCCTTCTGCAGGATCTTCAAATTTTTGGGACCTATAATTTGAGAAAAACAAGCAAATGCATTTGAGTGAGACAATTTAGATCAAGAGAGGCGCCAACATAGAACTGAAAGTATGCTTAACTAATTGTACCGTTATCATTAATTATAATTGGTTTACAACTGATCTAAGGATGTTAGTTATAGTGGGCTGTTCTGTTGTTGTGCGAGGAAGAGTAATTGTTTTATGCCAAAGTAAACTTGCAAGTTTACCAGCTAATTAAAAAGCGGCGAATGTAAGTCTATTTGAATTCAAAAAGCTTCTGCTCCTCTCCCATGTTACTTTCTGTTTTCCACTTCCCTTAAGCAACGGTATAATGATAGGATTGACAATAGAAAATCACATCTCTAAGGCACAAAATAAGCCAAAAAGACTGTTGGAATTGCATTCAGACTCTAGAATTTAGGGTATGTTTGGCAAACTACACAAAACTGGGTCCTAGCCCAATTTTGTGCTAAACTAGTTTTCTTTTGGACAGTCCAAAAGAAAACTGGTTTAGTGCCAATTTTTGGGCTAAAAAGATTGGGCCAGCTCTAGCATGAGAATTTGCCAAACAAGAAACAACTTAAAATTGGGTCATGACCCAATTTTATAAGGTTGCCAATTTGTTAATGGAAATGAAAAATCAAAATTCGATTTGGCAAATTAGGATTTCGTTACTTACACTAAGCGGTAGAAAAGGTCGCCCAATCTATGCTTGATCACACTGTACGTTATCTTCTGACCATCAGAACCAGCAGCTCGCTCAACAGCCTGCAGTAACTCATAGCAGAAAGGTGAGTCAAACACAAGGAACAAAATATATAGGTAATCTCTGTGCTCTGATTTTGATGTATGGGGGGGGGGGGGGGGGATTAAATAATAAGATGAGTTTTTATTAACGCTGCAATAAACTCTCAATAAGAGCTTGCGGAGCAGAACTTGGCCGAGGAGTTACCTGGCTTGCCAAAGCATTAAAATGGATAATATTACGCATCATCCAGACTGACTTGTAGAACGGACAGAATTTGTCATAACTGTTCGGAATATCAAAAACGTCGCATAAGATGAGCGCATCGACAATTAAAATTACAATCTATAAAAGTAAAAATATGCAGAAGACAGAAATCAAGATCAAATATGATATAGTTTGTGAACACTTACGGAGTAAACGCATTCTGTGCTAGATAATCTTCTCTCAGGAGCTTTGCAGTCTCTAAAGTAATTTTGTCAGTTTCAGCTAGTGCATCTTTCCCAACAAGCTGGAGAACAATGTACAAGGTTAAAAGACAACAAAATAAATAAGAGGCCAAATTCAGTAACTGAAACTCATCTCTAAACAGGGATTCAAAGAATCAATGAAGATAATATAGAGATTGGCAATTGAGAAAATCTATAAGAGGGTAATTTAACAAAAATATGCATCAATAACTGAATTGGGAGAACATACTATAATTAATAGTAGGAGATTCTTATTATCTTTTCACATATCATTGTTGGCTCGGAAGTCCAAAATTCTATACAAATTTTCATTTAACTCCACAAGCAGGCATGTGCTCAAAGATCTAGTAATGTGAAGAATAAAACGAAGGGCCGACCAACAAAAACCTTTAAAAGAACATCCAAGATCAATTACTGAAACTTGATGTTAGCTCAACAGGTGAATATGCGTCATCTCTCAGAAATATGATGTGAAAATGCAAGAAAAAAAAGAGCCAGAAAACTGCTAGACATCACACATGCAAGAACATGAGTCTTTTTTGACTTTTTGTCATCAAATATCAAGTTCTGATGAGAATAAAATACAAGTTAAAGGTAAGGAAAAGGAAGTTACAAGACACTGCCAGTGTTATGTATGTTTTATGCACTGTTCTTAGTCATGACTTATAATTACAGTTAAAAAATGTACCATGTTTAAACAATTTGAGAAATAAATAAATAGAGTTTTCAGATGAAAAAACTAAATTAAAAAAATACATGTTTGCATAGATTGCGGTCTCTAGTTTGCCACACTTTAGCTTGGTCCAGTTTAATGTAATTGCTTTATTGATTTTCCCATAGACTGCGACAATTGTTGAGGCAGGAGACACCAGCCCAAATAACAATTATAATTTGTAGAATATCTATCGATTTAACAAAAAAAAGGGGCATTTCCATTTCTTTTAACAGATGCATAAGTTTAACTACACTTACTAAGAACCGTAAGAAATATGAAAGTAAGTTTAGAATGTCAGAGAAGAAACAAAAACATGTGTATACCATGAAGTACTAATCTGACAAGAAAGTGTACCTGGACAATTTCATTCAAGTCGTCTTCTCTCTGAAGCACCTCCCGAGCTTTTGTTCTGATATCAATAAAATCCGAATCAAATTTCTCATAGAAAGATTCGAGGGCCTGCAGTACAAGAAATCATCAGGCAAAACAAAGTTAAATTCACCTAAATCTAGAAGTTACCAAAAAAATGTAGGACCTGGCATGGATTAACTACTTTACAGAAAGGGAAAGAATACGATACTTAGATTAACATAGCTCTTTTTTTAGAGAGCAAGTGTAGAAGGACAGTACAAACATTGGAGTTATGACAACTATTTTCAAGCTTCCATCATCTAATAGAACGTAGTTTTTTTTTTTTTTGGTACTAGGCCAATGAAGTGGACTAAGCCAGAATTTTTACTCCACAAGTTCTCTCCAAGTATTCTTTTTTAAGGTAAAAAGATCATCAAATCTTATTCTTCAAAGATAACTCATAACTCCATATAAAAACCTCCCAACTCCCACAAAAGAACAAGAGAACATGTAAATCAACTAGAGTTGAGCCACAATTGTCTAGCCAAACCAGAAATTTTCTCTATAAGATATTGGATATTGTTATTCTGAAATATAACCTTCTTTAGAAAAAATGGTTTAAGTCTATGTCTCCACTAGATTCCACAAATTGCAGTTCCTACCCACAGTTGGGAGGATCCTACCAACCATTCTGCAGATGACACTGATCCTCTCAGGGCTTATTAAATGTTGGACGATGTTACCTTGGATTCTGTATTGGTCATTATAAACAACCATGAATAACATTTGATGTTTCTCTCGTTCAATATAAGTTGCAACCCGTATCCAACCAAACTCACTGGTAAGGATTTTTCATCTAAACAGGCATTCCATATATCAATAATTGATCCATATTATATGACTAGAATTACATCGATTTACTCCAAGGAATACTAAAAGGTAATGCAACCTCTTAAACTTGTTAACACAAATTTTCAAGCAATATCAACATCTTGCTAAGATACATTAACTTTGTTCAAATTGTAATTTTCCTTGCGCAACTTAAATTAAAATAACATTCATCTTCTGCTGAAATAATTTTTCTAAGAAATATTAATAAAAATTGACTAATGTCTGCATACTGCATCCATGGGATCCAGTGAACAATAATCTCTTCTTCTATATTGAACAATACTAATAACTAACCTTTGAGTACTTTGAATAGGATATAAGCCAATTCACTGAAGGGAAATGTTTCCTCTGAGCCAGCTTCTTGTCTAGTCCCCAAAAAACCTGCATATGAAGTAGATTATACGTGCTTAAGAAAAGATAAAGCAGTACAACTCAGCAAGAAGAATGATGAAGACAATTCAAAGTTTCAATTACCTGAACAATACCGAGGGTGGCAGATGTTACAGGGTCTGAAAAATCACCTCCTGGAGGAGAAACAGCACCAACAATTGTAACACTTCCAGTACGGTCTGGGCCACCAAGACATTTCACTTTACCAGCACGTTCATAGAATGAAGCTAAACGTGCAGCAAGATATGCAGGATATCCACTATCTGCGGGCATTTCAGCCTGCAATAGTAGAGAGCTCATCAAGAAGTGTCATATGCAAAGGTACACTTTTAATTTCATACTCATATGAAGTAAATTTATAAAGTACATGAACTAAGATATTGCAACCAAGTCTTAATATTAAAATTCACATAATATTTTAGAGAAACATTTCTCCGGACATATCTATCAGCAGAAAACAGGATTCATTAGAGCTCGCATGGCTTGCAAATATAATATCTGAATCAGATTAATGTTTGTATACTATCCTGTGACTGCACTCGTGTACGCGCACATGCATGCACCCAAGTACGCGCACATGCGGATACACTAAAAATTAAATAACTTTGAGCTCCCAATAATTTATTTAAACCCTGATGTAAAATACAAGTTTTGCAGCATAGTTCCTTAAAAATTCACACAAAACATCTTTATATTTGGGGATTCATCCCTAAAAGTGTACAGCGAATGACACTCAGAGACATGGGGTAAAAATTTTCACTTTTAACAAAATATATCATCTTCAAGCAGAAGCGATAAAAGAAATATAACAGCAAACAAGAATTAGTACCAATCGCCCTGAAATTTCACGTAAAGCCTCTGCCCATCGGGATGTAGAATCAGCCATCATGCTTACGTTATAGCCCATATCTCTGAAGTATTCAGCGATAGTGATTCCTGGATATGAAAATAGCTGAGTAAGATAGCTATCATAGCAAAGCCAAAGATAATTTATTGAATCACAAAATAAAAAGTTACAAGATAACTATCGAGTCTACTGCAGCTGCACCTTTGAGACTATATAAAAATGCAAGCTGTATCAATTCATTAGGCTTTTGAGTTGAGTCTCTTGGCATGTATCCCTGATTAAAAAGGTTAATTGAATTTTTACGTGCTATATCAGTTTGCTATTAATAATTTTAAACTCGTAACAATTTATGGAATCACTAGTTCAGTCTCTGATAACTTCAAGCATGATTTACTATGAAAACTGTCTAGACAGATGATCAAACACTTACATTTATTCTTAACACTAGTAAAGACTAGATCTAACTTGACTGGATATTACTATTATTTGCCTCAGGAAGTCACTGTTATTTTATTCCGTCTTTTGGTCATCGCCAAGTTCTAGAGCCATTAAGTATAATTTCAAAGGTCCAACATCTAATTTTAACCCTAAAAAATTTCCCCAAGACAGTTACCAACATGGATGATAAATTCAACATAAAACTCTGCACATCATCAATATATTATTGAGATCTCAGCCAACCATATCATGAAAAATGGAGTTGATAATATTTGATAGGTTGCCCTGACTTTCTTGAGCTAAATGTAATAACAAATCACACATCCGTTCCCAAAATTTGATAGGTTTCCCTGATATTCTCAGCCAACCATGTCATGACAAACAAGGTTCATAACCTTTGATAGGTTGCCCTGACATGCTTGAGCTAAACTAATTCACAAACCATTCATCTATTCCTAAAGTTTGTTGTTTACTGTTATTTAAAAGCTGTCTTAGGTACCATTGGCATTTGGCAACAAAAATCTTGATATAACTAGATTTCCAGACCATTAGAGTAATGCCTTATGAAACATCCAAGAGAAGTTTTCCCCTGAGTAAAGGCATTTTTGAGATTGTTTAGATTCCTAAATCTCAATAGAAGCAAACTATAATTGTACACCCAATGGGTAGAAAATGCATAAATCAAATTGCAGAACAAGTAATCATAAGTAGAGCATCTTTTTCAAATTAAAAACTTTCTGGTACAAGTAATATTGTGTCCTTAGATGGAAACAGGAAGACCAAAGATGAACATAGAAGAAAATTCACTCTTTAGCTAATGGAAAGAAAGCCTTAAGCTATATTACCATGTTACTCGTATTTTCCTCTGAATCTCATTTATACTTTCAGCTGTCCCAGTAATTTGGCATTTCAGCAAAGCAAATGAAAAGATTACCTGTATAAATAGAAGCCTCCCTAGCAGCCACAGGCATATTGGAAGTATTCGCGACAAGTGTAGTACGTTTCATGACAGATTCTTCACGTCCATCAGGCAATGTCATCGTTAATTGTGGGAAATCCATAAGCACCTGGCATATTTTAATAATGTGAATCATAGAAAACAAAAACAACAAATAAAATTCATATGCCTGAAGCATATAGATAAACAGACCTCAGCCATTTCATTTCCTCTTTCTCCACAGCCCACATAGACCACTGTGTCGGAATTAGAGTACTGGAAGAAAGACGAAAATTAGTGCAAAACATGTACAAGGGGAAAAAGAGTAATATTTTAAGTACTGAGAAGGTTATCCAAATGAAAAATGAAAATGCTACCTTTGAAAGTGCCTGACTGATGACTGTTTTACCACAACCAAAAGCTCCAGGTATAGCACAAGTTCCTCCAAGCACAGAGGGGAAAAGGGCATCGAGAACACGCTGACAAACATACATGAATAAACAATTAGAAACATGTCTAACATTTAAACTGTGTTTAGAAAAGAAATGATGCTAGGCCTAAGAAAGAATCTCATTGATGAAGCTCAGAGGAAAAGATTATATTGATTACTTGTCCAGTCAAAAGTGGTGTATCTGCAGCAAGTTTCGTTGCTACAGGCCGAGGGGTTCGAACAGGCCAGGTCTGCAGCAAAAGACACCGTATCAACAAATTGTTTAATTGAACCCCAGTTTTAAAACAAGAAACAAACACTTGGCTTCGTTTGGATACTATGGTGTTTTTCTTGTTGTGCTTTTGTAAAAAAACACCATGGTGTTGTGTTTTTTCCTTAAAATATTTTCAAAACACCATATTAAGTATTTTTGGTCAACACTAGTTTGACCCATTATAACATTAGTATTAAACATATTATTAATATATTATATATTAATTATAATAAAATATGTTATAAATAAAATGTTATAATATTTAGTTTACATTATTATAGTATTATAAGTATTAAATGTAATGCAATATAATATTGTATAATACATTATACTATTATACTATACTTTAATGAGTTATATTATATTATAATTATTATTATATTATAATTATTACATATTATTCTAATTATTTTGGTATATCAATTTGTTATTGTTGTATATTATATTAATATTTTTATAATAATGTTATTTTATTATTAATATAATATTATACTATTATTAATATAATATAATATTATAATATTATTCATATAATATAATATTATTAATAATGTTAATATTATGTTATTATTAGTATATTATTAATAAATTAATATATTATAAATATTTTAATATTATATAATATATTATTTAATTTATTACAATTTATTTATTAAAAAGTTAATAATATTATAGCGATTATAATATTGTATAGTAAATTATTATATCATTATTATATTATTATATATTATCAATAACTTTTTTATTATTTTTTATTAGTTTATTTATATGTTATTATTATTTATTTATTATATAATACATTATTAACATATTAAATATTGGTAGTTAATATGTTATTATATAAGATATTTATTTATTATATTTTTATATTATTTAATAAATATTACTAATATATTAAATTAACTATAATAAAGTATAGTATAGTATAGTATAGTATAATAAGCATGTTGATAATAACACTATATTAATTATATTTAATATATTATGTTAGATATTATATTAACACCTTCTCAAACTCAAAACCAAAACATCAAACTTAAAACACCTAAAAAGTGTTTTGAAATAAGTGTTGTGTTTTCGGTTTGAGGATGATTTAGCTCAAAAAACATCATGGTTTCCAAACACATGTTTTTTGTTTTTGGCAAAAAAACCATAGAAATAAGTAAAACACCATGGTATCCAAACAGAGCCTTAAGCAATTATAAACCTGAAGCATAGTGAACTTCTTCTTGATGCCTTGAAACTCCAACTCAAGTACCGTGTCCTGCAAAGTTTGCATGTTAAATGTAAAACTACAACCAAATAATATAAACAAACATACCCGAGGATGCAAAATCTAAAGTGGGTCTTCAAACTAACCTGGAGGCTATACTGACCAGCTGGGGCAATGTAGCTAACTTTACCCATAGAACCAGGAGGTAGAGCAACATGATGCTGCATCAAAGTGTTTTCAAAGACAGTCTGCAAAGGAAAAGCCAGAATTCACATCGAAATGTGAGACCTCTAAACAAGAAGAGAATACAAAAAATGAATTCTATGAAAGTTCAAAATCTGTAAAAACTCACAGCATACAAATCTCCACCAGTGAGCAGATCCCCGACAGCTGCAACAATCAAGATAAAAGATCAAACCTTCTAGCTTGACCAACAATTAAGTGATCATACAGTGGATAGAGATCAAACCAAATTACCTAGCTTCTTCGGTTCGAACTCCCACAATACATCTTTGTCAAGTGCAGGGACTGAAACTCCACGAGGAATATAGACATCCCCAGATCTTATGGCAATATTTTTCAGAGGTCTCTGTATTAAAAAATCAAATAAGTTCTCACAAAATTGATAAATAATCACAAATTAGAAACAATTTTAGGACTTTTAACTCTGTACCTGGATTCCATCAAAAATATTTCCCAGAATTCCAGGGCCCAATTCCACTGACAAGGGCTGCAAGAACAGAACCAAGCATTGTAAAAATAAATCTAGAAAAATAAAATGAAACCCAAACCAATGTCATTACAATTTAATACCTTTCTAGTCCTGAGCACAGGATCATTGACCATCAACCCTGCAGTCTCTTCATAAACTGGAAAAGCACAAGACGCAAAATTAATAAAAACCCAAAGATTTTTAAAAAAAAAACAAAAATTAGGGTTTTTCTCATTATAAACCAACACAATTCCAAAATCATTCACGGACCCAACCTAATTTATAATTTAAACCCTGATTCGATATTTGACCCTTATATTCTAGTACTTTAGATCGAATTAAAGCACTTCACATCACTTTGTAGCAAATTAACATGGATTTTGGGTTTTTAAAAAAAAAAATCAAGTTGAACATTTTGGACGCGTTAGTCTAAAAATAAATCAGAATAAAATATGGGTTTAAAACTAGAAAAAAAAATCCCAAAAAAGGTTACCTTGGATTGTAGCAGAATCACCCTCCAATCGAATGATCTCACCAATGAGATTGTCATGGCCGACACGAACGAGCTCGTACATCGCAGCGCCGCCCATTTCATCGGCCACCACCACCGGCCCTGAAACCTAGAAATACCAAAAAGAGTTTTTTTTTAAAAAAAATCAGATCTTTAAGGGTTTTTTAATTAATTTTTGGGAATGAAATGAAATGTGAACTGACCTTGCGAACGTAGCCATATTCGCTCTCTTTCTCTGAATCTTCGAACGTTGTCAAGCGATCGCCGTAAGCCATTACTGGAGGAGGCGATCAGGATCGAAGAGACGATGGTTTTTTGATGGGGACCAGAGATTTTAGAGAGAGTTTGTAGATTGGAGTAATTGCGTATTAGTCCCTAACATCACCCTTAATGGCCAAATAGTTCCTCACATCTCATTATTTCCTTATTAGTCAATTAAATCTTCAAATTTTTTGTCATATAGTCCTTCTGTTTAGAAAATCTATTTAAGTCTTTCCCAACTCTAGTTGGGTTAAACATTAAACCAATATCTCAAATTATTTTAATGGTCTTGGGTATGCATTTATCTCTTAAGTTATTGAAGGATCCTTATTTGCATACTTTTTCCCTGCTATCTCATATGGGGAATCAGCTCGAACTTAACTTTAGGAAAATCTACCTACTTCCGTTACATTTAATCCCTTTATGAACCATTGGAGGAAGAGGACCATTGAAAAAGAAAGTTTTAATGGGTTTGGATTTTAGAGTGTATGGAATTTTGGGTTTAAACCCGTTATGAACTGGGTAGATGGGTTTAAAATCTACCTACTTCCGTTACATTTAATCCTCCTTAATAATGGCACCTAATAAGATGGACGAATTGGCAAAAAAAATTAAAAATGTAATAGACTAATAAGCAAATAATAAAATGTGAGGGACTCTTTCGCAATTAAGGTTAATTAAGGGACTAATATGCGATTGACCCAGATAGATTTTACGACTGCGGCGGATCTGGAGTCGATTAATTTGATGGAATTTTTTGTATGCGGAGTTGCGGACCCTCTAATCTTACTTATTTTGGAAATTTTACAGAAAACTCCTTACCGCTATCAGATCTACAGAAAACCCCTCCTTCGTACTGAATTTATAGCGAAGCTTGCAGGCAACCTGCCGCGATTATATGAGTACGCTCCTTTGGGTAAACAGGGTATTTCGTGTGTGCTTTTTAGAGTTTTTTTATAACTCTTCTTTGTATTTCTTTTACTTGATTGTTTTTTTAATAAAAATCATTATGGATAAACATTTCGTTTCTCATTGTTTCAGTTTTTTTGGTAGAAATGTCATAGATTCTTAAGAAAAAAATTAAGCCACCCCACCCCCCCAAAAATGCCATAGATTCTTGCACACCACCACCCCCCCCCCCCCCCAAAAAAAAAAAAAAAAAAAAAAACATTCCGGCAACTAAAAGTTACTGATAAACCTCAATACTATAGTAAGTTTTCCACAATTACCCTTCTCATTTCTTCTTATGATTCCTTTATGGTAATCTAGCTTGTAATTCTCACTTTTTTCATTTATTTTGTTGAAAAGTTCCTGATAAACCTCAATACTATAGTAAGTTTTCCACAATTAGCCTTCTTATTTCTTCATGGTAATCTAGCTTGTAATTCTCACTGTTTTCATTTATTTTGTTGATTGTTGATATAAGGTGTGTGTCTAATACAATATATAGAACCTACCGCGAGTGATCCAGATGGTTGAAAGTTCCAATATGAATGCCACGGTCTTAGGTTTGATTCCGGACTGGATTATCAAAGTGATGATGATGATGATGATATAATGTATAGGCAAGGAAATATGACATTATACAAAATGTATATAGATTCAACTACGCTGATTAATGTAAAATGTCTACAATCCTAATGACATCTTCAACGAGTACTCGTTTTTAAGTCCATGGGACATTCAACGTAGAGGGGCTGTTGAAGGTGATGGTAGCGTTCAGTTCAGCTCTAGACCGATTTACCTGTCAATATCAAATTACAAGGGCAACGTGTTCCAAAGCACAAACAGGGGGTCTATGTGCAATTAAACCTTGAATTAGTTAGAATATAACATTATAACAATGACTAAGAAACAAAAATGATAAGGGAGCGTGTGACAACGACCCATCATTCGACGATAAGGATACAGAATACAAGCACGAATCTATGAACCAAGCAATCAAAATATACTCCACAAAAGTTCAGGCAATTGGTCGAGCATCAAAGGTAAGAGCGGGAAAATATCAAGCTCACTGAGAGTTCTTAATGAAATGGAAACATCTTGTAAGACGGTAAACTGTACAGAAATTTGGATTGGATCACACGAGTTTAATACTGTAAGCAGAGGGTTTTGATGTAAACAGTTTAATTCCATCAGTATGCAAAGGTTGCAATGCTCACCTTCAGAAAGAACAGCATAGAAAATATTTCTTATACACTTGAAGAGGAGAACTTGACTTAACTGTGGCAACAAAAAAGAAACATTAAGTCTGCATCTACCAACAATATTTCCAAATTTTCCAGACTTCCGAACCAAATCTTTTGCCATCTCTCCCGTTGCGCATGCTTCTTTTCTGCTGTCTGTGGATTTCTGTCTTATCGTATCAGCACCTGTTGCCATTCATCAAAATAACCGATCTCTATACTATGCAAGTTTGTGACAAATTACACATACGCTTGCTGTTTAAATGAATAGATCTTCCAGCATGCCAAAACAAAAGAGTATTGACCTCGATATCCCAATCTGAAACGCAACTTACAGAGCCTCCTGCAGAAAGATGCAGGAAACAAGCCTCCACAAATTAGAAGGCACCAAATTCTTCTTCAAAAATTGTAGAGCAGAATGCCAGAATTCAATCGAGAAGCTAATGGTGGCAAATAACAGCAACACATGAAGAATCTACATCTATCAACCACATATCAACTTTTTCCAGATCTCTCTGCACTAAATCCGCTGTCATCTCCCTCGACCAGAAAACAAACTTCTTCCCGCTCTCAAGTGGTTTCTCAATTATCGTATTATCACCTACTTTCAAACCAATCATTATATCATCAAATCTCCACACCTTCGTGGCTCCAGCATCCTCCAATACTTTCGTAGCAAAATATACAAAATTTTTGTTTTCTATAGGTGAACTGTCACCTATTAAAGATGTCCCTGCAGCAGCGACTTTAGAAACAAAATCATCAATCCAAATTTTCAAAGAAGTAGGAGAACTCTTGACAAACATCAGCTCCAAATTTTTTGCAGCAGAGAAAGTGTGGGAATCTGGAAGCTCGGAAAAAAAATCAGTTAATGGAACTATGTTGCCATCCATAATCCAGCAATCATAGCCCAATTGTAGACATCTTTTAATCGCATTGGCCTTGACCAATATCTCCTTCATCGAATCACTTCCCGGTTGCTCACCAATTGATTTGTAACCCTTCAAGGTATGAATGAACTGATCAGAATCGATCACAGAGTATCCTCTCCGTGCAAGATCATGAAGAAGCTCTAACTTGCCGCCCAGAAAAATGAGGTTCTGCATAGATAGCCTCTCAAAATGACAAATAAGGTTTCTAGCAGTTCTCTCTGTAGTCTTATACAAGCTTACGAGTACAATACTTCTCTGTTTCTGCAAAGAGCCAAGAACAGGTCCAAGTTCATCATAGCTTTTTACAACTTTCCAAGGATGCACTTCCGAGAAGCAGAAATCATACCATTTTAAATTTCTTAAAGGTTGCAATTCCCAAAGGTTGAAATCAAGAGAGCCCTCATCTAATAGCTTGGAATCAGGACCAGCTGTTTTACCATAGTTTACACCAGCATCCCTGTGAGATGTGCTTAAAGCCCTTTCTTGCTGAAAATTTGTGTATATGTTTTTGCTACCTCGGCATTTCAGTTTTAAACAGAAGTTAATACACTAGTGAAATAAGAGCAGAGTAGCTAGAAAGGTTGACTTAAAAAGATTGCTAACATTTATACACTGCAAAATCAACACAAGGAAAGGCCACAACCCTTTATGGACATCTTGTTAGTGAAAGACAGATGAATTAACTTAGAGAAGTTTCTGGGCTAAATAACTAAATTTCCACGCCCGGAATTAGTTTAACATGCAATAAATTCGCAATTTGTTGATCATCAGTTTTAACTTAGAAAGATGAATTAAATTAGAAAATAATTTAGCTAAGCAACCTTACAGAATCGGCCTAAACAACATGAAATTTACTCCAATATCTTTTGTGAGCATCCATTTATGCAAATAGATATGTGAACTAGCTTTGTGTAAAAAGAGAAAAACATGTGCTGAAACACTAAATTACCATGCCTTGCAGAATTGGTTTTAGGCCTTCAGCTTTGTGTATATCATACCACAAACGGAATTCTTTCCACGGTTTTGGAAAAAGAAGCTGACCCCATGTCCCAACCATCTGATATAAGAAAAGGTGTGTCTCGCTGTCAACCTGTAGTTTGTTTCCATGCTTACCTGTTCAGTATTAAATTCAACACTTTAAATACAAACTGGTTTCCCGTCTCTGATAGTAAAGATGCAAGAAGTTGTAAATACTCAATGCTCTCTCTCTCTCTCTGACATCTATTAGTAACATAACAGATCATCCATTTGTAAACTCAATTTCTCCTAACAAAGAAGCATAGATAACAAAGGAATATACACAAGTCTGAAATTCACATATAGCATGTGAATTTTTGTATATTCATCTTGCCTTGCATGTCATCATACCGCTCATATTTTGAAAATTATATAGAAACCAAGGTTTAGAATCTCAGCATTAGTTGAACAAGTTGATACACAACATGCTAATTAGACTGCAACAACATTGAAAATAGCCTCTATCCAACTCACTTCAGGTTTGTTAAGGGTTTCAGTCAGATTAGCAACAACTATATATTTCATGCCTCAAACTTGTTCATTTGAATCCATTCATTTCCTAGTGCTAGCCACACCTCAAAAAATACACGGTGCTAATCATCAGTTACCTCATTCACTACCTTATCCCCATTTGAACATAACTATATCTTCTTATGAATGCATCTCTTGCTCTAAGTTTAAATGGACGGTCAGCTCATCCATCTCAACATTCTCAAATTTCTTTTCTGCTAAACTCGTTTTTTGGCATTTGTTTTGTTCTTACCTTTTTTTAACTTCTAAGTCGTATAAATCGGAATAGCCATCTTACTAGGTATTTTACATCCATGAGCATCATCGTACTCCAGAAACATAACTTTAATAAGCTTTTCTTGACTCTCTAAACAACATTCCCCTAAACCTCAAGACAATGGTAGGTTCCCTAATGAAAATGATCACTCTCAAGCACTTGTCTACACTCTTATAT